CGTATAATGGATAATAATACTTTTCATCTTCATGTCATTTGCTCATGGAACTATTATATACAGTATATATAAATATTAGGGATGTCCGATAATATCGGTCGACCGATATTATCGATCCGATATTAGCATAGCTATGTAATATCTCTAAGAATCGTCATCGGTTTTTCCTCCGATAATGAAAACCCGATAACGGAATTCCTGGGTTTCACCGAAACGGTGTGCGACCTAAAATAGTTTTGGGGATAAACTATTGTATATTAAAGTGAAAGTCACTAGGTGGCAGCATTGCAACCCATTAATTAATGAATCTCACACTCATACAGTGGTTTGTACAGATATATAAATAAATAAGTTTAGACAAAATCGGCATATCGGATATCTGCAAAAAGTTAATACCGGACATCCATAATTAATACTATAATTATTCAAAAGTTTTGTGAAATTCACTTGATTTGCCTCAACCTGGTCGGCGGGTTGCCAGTTCGGATCCCATCACAGGCAGGACTGTGTTGTGTGGTGTCGACCGGGCGCTCTCAGGGCGTGGTTAAGCGCGACTTCCTTCATCCACGAGCAGTAACGGAAAATGAACCTTATGTTGAGCCGTGGCAGCAGATGGAAGCAGAACCTCCGCGGTGATGCATCACTGCAGGTGATTCACATCCGCATGTATCATCATCATCATCTGTGGCTGAGCTCTGCCGCTCCGCTGCCACTCCACCGACGGAGCGAGCGGCGTCTGTTGAGCAAACACATTATTATCGTCCTCGGGAGATGCTGCGGTAACTAAGACGGAAACAGAGAGGGAGGGAGTGAGGTCGGTGGAGGTGGAGGGTGGAGGGTGGAGGGGTGGGGTGTTGGCATCGAACACATGCCTTATTTAACACATAAACCTGTATATCCACACAGAGCTGCCGGTGGAGGGTGGAGGGTGGGGGGGTGGGGTGTTGGCATTGAACACATGCCTTATTTAACACATAAACCTGTATATCCACACAGAGCTGCCAGCTGATTAGCGGTGGGCGTGCCAGCCCCCCGTCCTACTCATCAGAGCCCAGCAGGGGGCTGATGAGATTCCTTCCATCCAAACATCTCACTTTAACACTGCGTCTGTGAACATTAGCTCTAAATGTTTTCTCTGCTTCTCATTAAAATCCCATCCAAACACAAACATCGGCCGACGACTGTCAGAAGGAATCGGCCGTTTCTGAGAGACGGATCCTCGTTGCTCCTCATCTTCGTTAATAATGTCAAGGTAACTGCAGCCGCGGAGCACATTTTGGGCCGTTGCGGCAATTTGGAGGGCTTTTCATGGCGTCGTGATTGCGCCGCGGCTAACTGGAAAAGCGGCGGAAGAGGCGTTTAGCGGGAAATTAACAAGAGGTAAATGGAGATTTTCAATCTAAAAAAAATTGGAGAAGAAATATCATAAAAACAAACGGTGCAATAAAAAAGCAATTATTGGGTTTAATAAAAAGCCGCGGTGAATCAGGTGAGACGGCGGAAAGTTATGAAGAGTTTTGAAGCAGATCGAGGATAATCACGACTCTGATGTGAAGAAGAGGATTTTGGTCCTAAACCATGTCCAACATTTACTCCAGTTCTTATTTACAGTCCATAAAACTGACAGGTTCATAAAACTGAGTGAAAAGATATGTTAGCCTCATGTATACACACGGGTTCTCAAAGTTGGTCTGCAGCGCCCTCTAGTGGATGGGACAGTTGTCAATACGTTGCATATAAATAATACAACTCTAAATCAGTGCTTTTAAAAAATTTACTAAATATTTAAAATTAATTTGACCTTCTCCGTCCGCCTCAAATAACTTCGTGGACCATGAGGGGGCCCCGCCCCACTCATTGGGAACCACGTCCCTTCACAGATAGATCATTTTGCCCACGTTTTGAACTTCAAACTGAGTGAAAAGACATGTTAGACCCATGTATACACACTGGTTCTCAAACTTGTTCAGTAGCGCCCCCTCTAGGAGAAGGAACAGTTGTCAATACGTTCCACTGAACTTTCTGTATTCCATATAAATAATACTCATATAAATCAGTGCTTTAAAAAAAAGACAAAATATATCAAATCAATTTGAGCTTCCCTGCCCGCCTGTGGCCCATGAGGGGACCCCCGCCCCACACATTGGGAACCACGTCCCTACACAGATAGATTATTTTGCCCAGACATCGGTTCTGTTGGAACCGATGTCTGGGCCTAATGAACCTGCGCACGGGAGCAACTGTTGATGATGCAGGTACTAATGCTGTCCAGCTGCTCACCTGGTTCCCTGGACAGGCCTGTGGTGCAGCGGTCCAACTAGAGGCCGGTCATGGTGTTGACGAGCGGCCGGACACGGAAATATGGAAACATGGAAATAAAATGGGAAAAACTTCTGTCAAGATCTGAAATCCAAAGATGAAGACGTAGTTTTTTGTTGTTTATTAACAGTGCTAGCCTGTTAGCCTGTTAGCCCGTTAGCACAGCCACATAAACACTGCAGCTTCCACAGTCCACCGGCGGCAGGAAGGCAGCTAGCAGCTGCTCTGCGCCGCTCGCTGCCATTACGATGTTACATTAAAGTTCAATTACTCAGACGTTATGACTTCCTAGTT